CATGTTTGTCATGTAAGGTGTGAGAAGTTCTGGAACTCAGTTACAGACAGGTGTGAGCTCCCATGCGGGTGCTGAGAATTGCACCCCAGGTCCTCTGGAAGAGCAGCCAGTGCTTTTTAACTGCTGAGCCCTCTCCAGCCTGTGACTACCCATCTTTGGGCTTAAGTTTCCTTACCTGTAAAACGCAGGGGTGAGATTGGGTCATCTTTCAGGGTTCTCAGACCACTCTGTTTAGAGCTAGCTGGGGGTGGCACAGGCCTATAATCCCAGCACTTGAAGCACTGAGGCAGAAGGATTGTCAATTTGAGCTACAAAGTAAGACAGAAAGATTGTAAATTTGGGCTACAAAGTAAGACAATGGACTCCAAAACTGAAAGGGAAAAAATTCTACTACAAGTAAATAGTGGCAGATACTAAAGGTGTGTGCATGCATTGGTAACATAAAGACCCTTTGAACTTGTGACTAAGACATCTGGAGACTTCACCTTGGTATCTTTGCTTCAGATATTGGTGGATTCTTTGAAACTGGTACATGGATGCGCTATAACCTCCAGTCTGCACTGCGCTCTGCAGCCCAGGAGTTCTCCCACATGCTGAGCAGACCTGTACCAGGTTATGAGCCTGGCTATATTCCGGGCTACGACACCCCAGGTTATGTGCCTGGCTACCACGGCCCTGGGTACCGCTTGCCCGACTATCCAAGGCCTGGCCGGCCTGTGCCGGGGTATCGGGGGCCTGTCTACAATGTCACTGGAGAGGAGGTCTCCTTTAGCTTCAGTACCAGCTCTGCTCCCGCAGTCCTCCTGTATGTCAGCTCCTTTGTACGTGACTACATGGCGGTGCTCATCAAGGAAGATGGTAAGTTCTCCTTGGAGCTCTTCCTCCCATTGCTATTGACTAATGACTAACCCAGTCCTTTGGAAGATAGGGGTTGTGAGGGCTGAGAGAAGACCCCACGTTCTTCCTCCCACCCCACAGGGACCCTCCAGCTTCGGTATCAGTTGGGCACCAGTCCCTACGTGTACCAGCTAACCACGCGGCCAGTAACGGATGGCCAGCCCCACAGTGTCAACATCACCCGGGTCTACCGAAACCTCTTCATCCAGGTACAGGTGCAAGGGGATGGGCCAGTTAAGTCACAGCCTCATGATCATGGCTGTGGCACACCCAAGAAAGTGTCAAATGGCTACGTGTCTGAAACACAGTTCAGTACACGAGGGATTTTGACATGTGTCACCTCTCAAGACCCTTACACCAGCTCTGTGACGTAGTTGTGGTTGGCAGTTATCCTGAGCTCCATTTCACGAACCAGTAAACAGGGTGGGGAAGTCAAGTGATTTTCTCAAAGTCAAACCACCGGGAGCTAGGGATGTGGCTCGGTTGGCAGAGTGCTCGCCTACCATGCATGAAGTCCTGGGTTCCATCTGCAGCACTGCATAGATTGGGTGTGTGATCTCGCTATGTTGGAGGTTGAGGCAGAGGATCAGAAGTTTGAGGTCATCCCTGGCTACATGGCAAGCCTGAGGGCAGCCTGGGTTACATGAGACCCAATATCAAGGTGGGGGATGTGGTGCTGGTGAGATGGCCGAGTGCGTAAAAGCGTGAACCTGATAACCAGAGTTCGATCCTGAGATCCATGCTGTAAAAGGAGAGAAATGACTCCTGCATGTTGTTATCTGAACCCCAGACCCCGTAAAAAAAAGAAAATGTGTAGCTGGATGTTGTGGTGCACGCCTTTAATCCCAGCAGCTGGGAGTCCAGGACAGCCAGGGCTATGTAGAGACCCTGTCCCCAAAAATAAAATAAAATAAAAATGTCAGAAGTAGTAAAAAAAAAAAAAGTCAAACTACTAGTAAACTGCAGAGTCAGGAGTCAAAACCAATTGTTTGAGCCACATGTCAAACCTAACCCTAACCCTAACCTCTGTGCCCAGGGGTTGTTAACCTTGAGCAGGGATTCTTTGGGTAGAGTGAATTCCTTTCTGATCTTGGCTGTGTCCATCCAGGGCTTCCCTCCCTTCTCCACCAGGTGGACTACTTCCCGCTGACAGAACAGAAGTTCTCTCTGCTGGTAGACAGCCAGCTGGACTCACCCAAGGCCTTGTATCTGGGGCGTGTGATGGGTAAGCTGCTTGTATGGGTGTGGGGCGAGTTTCGGATGAGGCCCCTGGAGTAGAGTGAGGGAGTGGGAACAGCAGTGAGGGTGGTGAGCAGAGCGGACCAGGAATGGATAAGGAAGATGAAGACGGAAGAGGGGCGGGGCTCTGGGTGTACCAAATCCCTCTTTCTGGTCTGTCTCCCCCTCAGAGACAGGAGTCATTGACCCAGAGATCCAGCGGTACAACACTCCAGGTTTCTCAGGCTGCCTGTCCGGTGTCCGGTTCAACAATGTGGCGCCCCTCAAGACCCATTTCCGAACGCCCCGCCCCATGACTGCGGAGCTGGCGGAGGCCATGAGGGTTCAGGGAGAACTGTCGGAATCTAACTGTGGAGCTATGCCACGCCTTGTCTCAGAGGTGCCACCAGAGCTTGACCCCTGGTACCTGCCCCCAGGTAAATCCCTAGACACAGAGGAACACAGACAAAAGGAGGGAGGGGGTAACAGCGATGGGGAAATGGCTGGGAACACAGGGGTGATGTCTCCTAACTAGCCCTTTCTTTCTCCTTTTTAGATTTCCCATACTACCATGACGACGGATGGGTGGCCATACTCTTAGGCTGTGAGTACCACTGACCACTAGGCTGACTTTCCCAAGCCCACCCTATCAACCTCCCTCCTGGTTCCTGTCCTCAGGGCTAGATGAAGGAAGGGGGAGACAGGCTATGCCAACATCTGCATATAATTGGGCGGAGACTTAATATTTGAGACAGCTATAAATTTTTAATTAAAATGAAATATTAAAATGCAGCCATAGTTACAGGATGAGGAAACAGATGCAGTATCATCTATTGAAATGAGAAATCGGAGAAGCTGTCAGAGATATGGAAAGAGTAAAGTGAGCAGGGGATAAGCCAGGAATTTAGACCTAGACACAGGGATGGCCTGACACTGTAATACACTGCAGTTTACACAACACTTTTGGCTGAGTGTGTGTGTGTGTGTGTGTGTGTGTGTGTGTGTGTGTGTGTGTGTGTGTGTATCCCAAAGACCTTCTCTGAGTTGTTCCTTTTTTTTCCATCCAGTTTTGGTAGCCTTCCTGCTGCTGGGGCTTGTGGGAATGCTGGTGCTCTTCTACCTGCAGAATCATCGCTACAAGGGCTCCTACCACACCAACGAGCCCAAGGCCAGCCACGATTACCATCCTGGCAGCAAAGCTCCCCTACCTCCTTCAGGCCCAGCCCAGGCCCCTGCTCCCACTCCAGCTCCCACCCAGGTTCCCACCCCAGCCCCAGCCCCAGCCCCGGCCTCTGGTCCAGGACCCAGGGACCAGAACCTCCCTCAGATCTTGGAGGAGTCCAGGTCTGAATGAGTTGTAAGGGCTTCAGGGACCAAGTCCAACTCCTATAAGTCCCCCAACTCCTTCCTCTCCCTTATCCTGCCAGGGACATTTGGCTCTTCTTAGCAGGCTCTGTTCACCAGGAGGATTCCCCTCTTGCCAAGTTTGGTGGGCAGAGCTACAGATGGGACCAAAGGGAGTGGCCGAGCCTCACTGCCTAAACCAATGCCCTGCTTATTCCTCTCCCCCAGGCTCCTGGCTGTTGGCCTACCCCACAGGAATAGCCCCACGGGGCTGAGACAGGCCTTTCCTGCCATCTCTGTCCCAGCTGCTGGCAGGGATTAACGACAGAGGGCAGGGGCGATGAATTGCCTCCTTTCCTGTGTATACTATCAGCAGGGACAGATGTGGGGATTGCAGGACTGCACAGGGCATGGGGGGAGGAGGCTGCTAAAACACATCCCGAGCCTCCCCCTGCCCTGCTCACCGGCTGTCTTCCATCTGCTTCCTCTCGGCTGGGGGTGAGGGAGGGCTTCATCGCTGTCCCCACCTCACCCCACCCCCCTTTTGTTTTCACAGAGACCAAGAGGCCTCAGGTTAGCACTTTAGTACCTCCTGCTGCTTCATGTGCTTTAGCCAAAGCCATAAAAAGCCTGCAAGTAGAAAAAATAATGCAGACACCCTGCCTTGCCAGCTCTCCACTCTTCCACCCCTTTCCAAAATATGCAATAGCCTTGGTGCCTGCCCCCTCCAGTGCATGAGGAACCCGCTTCCCTCTGCTCAGAGACGCTGCTGTGTTTGCCCAGGAGGTCATATTCTTTATATATATTTTTTGTTGCACAGTCTCTCTCTAGAGAAACTATATATTATTCTAATTTTTAAATTATCTGTTTATATATAAAAAGAACTCAGTGGGCTGTCCTGTGCTGTGCCCAGTCCATAGTGAGCTCCTTCTGTACTGGATGTCTCCTGAGTCCTGCCAGCCACTCACCCAGCTTGCTGGGCCTCCACTCAAAGTCAGGGCAGAACCCACTGTGCCCTCAACTGAGCAGGTCCAATAAAGCAGAGTGGTAGAGCCCCAGTCTGTGTGTGGTAGCTAATGTCATGGCCAAGGGATAAATGGAGTGGTTTTTTATTTTGTTTTGTTTATTGCTTCCCACTAAATATTTTACTCATGAAGAATGGAGTGTTTTTAAGGGAACTACTCTGAGAACTTAGAAATTTCTAGTCCCTAAAACCCACGTATATAGAGAGGGTGGTAATGGTACACACCTTTAATCCTAGCACTCAGGAGACAGAGGCAGGTAGATCCGAGTTCAAGCTCAGCCTGGTCTACAGAGCAAATTTCAAGACAGCCAAGGCTACATACATAGAGAGACCCTGTCCCTAAAAACCAAAGCCCAATCTACACACCCACCAATGGCTTCACTCTGGTCACTCTCCCAGCCCCCTAGACCTCAGAGGAGGATAGTGGGGATCAGAGTTGAAGTTTCTGCCCAGTCTGCTACCACACCACCACCTCTGGTCCTTCCAGCCCAAGCACACAGGACACAACTAACCAAAATGGATTCTAACACTTTATTAGGTAAGAGGTCACAAGCCACAGGACTTTAAAGTGCAAGAAATTCACTGGCAATAAAGCCACATGTACGCCAGCTCCCCACCAGTCCAAACCACCTCTCTGTGTCCATCTTACATGAGGTGGGGCAAAAGTGGGGAGGAGGGCTGGGACCCGTCATTAAAAGAAGAAGACAGCAGGGACCAGGAATGGCAGCTGGAGGAGCATGAGTATTTGTGGCCTCAACTTCACAAGGAGGGGCTGCCAGTGATGCCTGATGAGGGAAGGCTGGGGTCAACCTAGAACCAACGTTTTAAAGCATTCCTCACGGCCAGGCCCTTGTCTGCCTGTCTCTGGTTTTCCCAGAGAATTGATGAGTGATTCCGAGCCTACGGTTAGGCTTGAGGGTATCCCTGATACACATAGTAGACACAAGCCACCGGCAGCTGTCAATTTCAGAGCTGTGATGAGGGCATGGGGAGAAGCTACTGTCAGGAGCTGTGTGAGGTACATGTGCCTACCAGTGTGGTGAGGGGGTGTGTCTATGCACAAGCATGCAGTCCCATGCAAATTTCTAAGGGGCACTATGGCCAAAGGAGCCTGGCGTCTTTGGTGGGACAGACACTGGCCCGTGGGAGGAGCTCTGGCTAACACTCCCTAGGTCAGTCTCTACCTGCCCAGGTCCTTTCCACTCAGAGCCATGCCCCTGTTCCCAGCGCACCAGACCCAAGGCAGCCGGGCCGTCACAGCTTGCTTCTTGTGTCAGACCACCTCCACCTGCTTCTCTCGGGAGAAGAGAAAGAAATGGAAGGTCTTCCCCTCTCCTCTTCCTCTTTCAGAAGTGGGATTTGGGCAGGAACCCCAGAGACCTTGGCTCAAACTCCAATCTATAGACCTTCTAAAAGAAAGTTAAAGTGCTTTGTTCTGCATAAATCTCAGAGAAAGTCTGCCAGTCTGCCCTGCACTGTGACGCCCTCCTGAATGTGCAATGGCACTCCTCACCACCTTTGAACCCTGCCAAGCGCAGGTACCCCACACGGAGGAAAGCACACCAGCAACCTCTCCCTCCCTGGACTAGACCCCGCTACCCTGAAGAAAGAAGCAAAGCTGCTCCGTGGACCTAGCTCTGAGGAACGAAGGCCTGAGGACCACTGCAGCGTAGTGACCTGGTGTACTTACTCTCAGCCAGGCACAGCCCACACCCGCAGCCGAGGCTGGCTGCCACTGAGCCAGAACTTTGGAAGGAGCTGGGTCACTGGTGCCTGCTGCTGGAGTCTGAAAACGCCCTTCTCCCCCCATAGTCTACAGGACAGGTTTTTCCAAGCTTCCTGAGCCCACGTTCTGACTGGCTCTCCCTCTGTCCACAGGAGGGTGGCACTTAGCTCCTGCAGCCTTAAATTTCTGCTTCGATGTCACAGAGACTCATTTCCCTCTGAGCTCTGTAATGCCTGTCAGGCACCTGTAGGCTGCAGGGACCTGATTTCACTTAGCCAGCCTGACAGTCAGTGACACAGGACTCTTGACTGGGAAAACTAAAATGGCAGTGCTGTTGACTCCTGAGGCCCACGGTTTGGGAGCTGAGGAGAAACAACCCTCAATATCCACCCAGCCCATGGCTGCCTCCTCTGATCTGGGGGTGCAGCTTCTCCCAGGAGACCAGGTCTTCAGCACCTGTTTCCCTTCTCACTGAGGCAGTGTCTCCTTGGGATACAGCGGAGGTCTAGTTACACAGGAGTGGGTGGGCGTTCTCAGCATGGAAGACATTGCAGCAGCTGGAGCAGCAGCAGTGTGCCTGAAGCAAGACGGTGCTGCGACCACAGCACTGTCACGGGGCCCAGAGGGCTAGAGGACATCGGTCTCCCTCTCGATGCCCACATACTTGAGGGCATCAGCTTGGCTGTACCTATCCCAGAGCAAGGAGGAGGAACGCGGTTACTCTGATTGGTAAGATGGGGTCCCCTCCTGTTTCACTTCCTCCCAGTTCCTAGCAGCCATTTGTAATGTCCCTGGTTGAGACGAACAATGGCGACCACAGACCCTCTCCTCCACCCACTGTAGCTGCTGTAAATCCCAAAGCAATTCCCACAGCCACTTCTGCCTCATGCCCAGCCACCTCACCTATAGTCAAAGAAGAGCTCTTCGCCAGCCTGAATTGCTCTCTTGGCAAAGATCCCAATGCGGTGATCTCCATTCACCATGACCACTGCAAAGAGGAGAGGACAAAGCTGGACTAGCTTACTAGTCTTCTAGTCACATTGCAAGCCTGTGCTTAGGATTCTGAGCTGATTTTCTCCAAATTCCCAGTAGAATCAAATGGAAGGAGAATGCAATTATGATGGCACTTGTCTCTGCTTTTGAATCTGCTATTGGACCTGTGACCTTTAAATCACGATTGTGGGAAAGCATTTTTAATGCGGTAAGTGAAAAAAGCAAAGTATGAAAGTGAGAGGCCTAAAATGTCAGATATTAATGATGAGTACTCTTGAAAAACAAAAAAACGGGCAGCAGTGGCGCACGCCTTTAATCCTGGCACTCAGAAGGGAGAGGCAGCAGAGCTCTGAGTTTAAGGCCAGATAGTTCTAGGACAGCCAGAGATACACAGAACAACAACAAACAAAAAATTTAAAAAGTCGAATGATGGATAAAATCATAGTGCATGAGGTATTTAGCCCACCCCACTTCCTAGGCTACTGAAGGCTCACTCACCTTTGGCATAACAGTTGGGGTTCACTGAATGGTTTGCAAAGCGAATTTTGTTTCCTTTCCGGGTAGCATCCACTACAAAATCTACATGACATAAATCAAAGAAAATCATGAGTGTCCCAGGAAACTCTATACTTTTTTTCCTGGGGGGAACGGATGGATGGACAAGGTCTAGCTCTGTGGCCCAGGGCCTAGAACAGATGGCACAATCCTCATGCCTTAGCCTTCCCTAGTGCTATGATTACAGGTATGTGCCACTATGCCCCTTTTTGTTTGCTTGTTGGAAACAGGATCTCCACTTGCAGCTCAGGCTGGCCTCAAATCTGTGGTATTTCTCTTGTCCCAGGCTCTCAAGTGCTGGGATTACAGGTATGAACCATGTGCCTGGCTTCAATTCCACATTTCTCTAGCTCTAGTTTAAAATCAGTTAAGTGGTAACAGAAACAGTTTAGTCCGATGGGAATGTGAAGCCCAGAATAGTAACAGGAGATGGGAAAAGCACATGGCCCGCCTCCTCACACCCACCCGCTGAGTAGGGTAACTTCTCAAGAGGAAGTGCCCAGTGTTCCAATTCCAAACACAACTCAGAGATGAACAGGCCTATGGGGCTTTCAAGTTCAACCACAGCACTTTGCTTGAAGTAGCTATTGGAAAGATTCAGTCTGATTTGAACCTGGAATACAGCAGAAGCTGCTTAGTGTAAAGACTTGCATATTATCACCTTGGTATAAAAGGAAGGCCATGCCATACCATTGTTGAGGTTGAAGAGGAAGCTGGACATATATTTATCATAGACTTTCCCTCGCCGATCAGCCTCATCCTGAGAGATGAGCTGGAGGAGTAGACAAGGAACAAGAGGACGTCAGGCTGCCTGCTCAAGGTATATCTGTCTGAGCTGGGAGAAGCAGTGTAGGAAAGCAAGCTCAGGCTATACTAGTCCCGTCTCCACCCAGGAAGGCCAGGGTGAAGGCTGCGGATAGCCAGACACCAAAGCTTTGACAAACAGTGGTTTGCTTCAGGACTGCAAACAGTTCTGTGGGATCCCCTGAGAGGCCACATGAAAACTGGGCTGAGTTATTTAGAAATTAATTCACAGAAGTCTAACCCACAGAAAATCAGAGAGCTTCTTGTCAGTACCTTCCCAGTAAGAATGCGGGCTGAACCTGGAACACTCACCTCACCACAATATTCAGAAATGAATTCATTCTTCTGCACAGACTCCTTGATGAAGGTGCCCCATCCGGCCACATCAGAAGGGGCCAGCAGCAGGTGCTGGGGGAGAGGGAGGCAAGCCTTAGACGGCAGGGCGGGGGTGAGTGGGTGTGAGTGCTGCATGCACACGCACGTGTGTGATGGGGGCAGGTGGAAACAACTACCAACTGCCAGAGCTGAAACCAGCCGTCCCCACCATTCTGCTCTGGGGAGAGGGGGCAAGAGCCTGCAAACAGAGCCGTCCCCACCATTCTGCTCTGGGGAGAGGGGGCAAGAGCCTGCAAACAGAGCCGTCCCCACCATTCTGCTCTGGGGAGAGGGGGCAAGAACGGGAAGTGGTGCAGGAAACAGGACACTCTCCTCCTCTCCCTTGGGGACCTCCCGGGCTGAGTCTGGGCATTCACCACAATGTAGGAGGTAGAAGGGGCGACACCAGGGCTGGGGCTGGGGCCCATTGGTAAAGTGCTGGCCTCCCAGAAACAAAGTCTGAGACTCCAACCCAACACCAGAGAACAGAATGTAAGCATCCTTCAGGTAGGATCGAAAATTTGATTAGTCTGACCACTGACAAAGTTGTCAAGCACTTTCACATATAAACCCTCTGAGGATCCAAAGGAACAAGGACACCTGGGACCATGGACCCAAGAAAAGACCTCACCTTTTTGAGGCCACGCTGGATGCTGCAGTTTTTGCAAGATACCACCTTGCAGTCCCAGTGCTCTGAGGCCCCACACGTGAGGCACAAGTCAGGGTCACACTCCCGTACTGCCAGATAGCAAGGACACTGCTTGGTATTGCACTGAGTCTTACAGCGACAACCCGGAAAACGATTCTGGCCTGGGTGGGGAGATGGGGATGGTTAGGAAGCAGGCCCACACCAATGCAGGTCAGACTCCGGGACAGCAGAGAAGTTAAAAGTGACCCTTGGCAGAACAGACAGAAGGGTCCTTCCCTTGAACACCTGGCCTCCTTTAGACAATGAAGTACCTCCTTCAGGGCTCAGGAGATGGCTCTTACCATGCATGCAGGAGAAACTGAATCCATCCTATAGAACCCACATATAAAAGCCAGGCATGGCAACACCTCCGTGCTGGGAGGGTAGAGAGAGGGATTCCTGGAGCTCACTAGCCAGATAGCTTTACCCTAATAAGCAAGCCCTTAGTTCCAGTGAAAGATGCCATGTAAAAAACAAGGCTAAGAGGCTCCCCAAGGCTGACCTTGGCCCACACACGCACATACATGCACACACATGAGCACGCTTACACAGATATACAAACTATGAACTAATTCCCAACATTCAAGTCCAGCAGACAAAAAAGCAGGAGTGACTATTTAGTGTCACATGGAGATTCCCCAACAGGGTCCCCCTCTCATCTTTGTTGACAGAATTTGGAATCGAGGTGGAGAGAACCCCAGAGAAAATGAAATCAGTGCTTTTCACAGTAAATCCTCATCAAAACAAGTATCATTTTGAGAACCAAATGCATCCATTCTGTACCATCCTCCACCCATAGCCCTCCCCAGTATTAGTGCTTATGTGTTGTGGCTAAGATCACTATCTGTTTCTTGTTAGGTGACAATCACAGCACAGCCTGGGCACTGCCTTCTGCAAGCCCAGAGGCTGCCATCAATTGTACGACTCAAAGAGGAAAGGTGACATGGGATCAGAAATGAGAGCTACTTTTCTGCTGACCCCCAGACTCCTGTCTTTTACTAGATATGTATGTATGTATTACTTATGTGTATACACGCTTATTACTTATGTGTGTACAGGATCCATATCCACAGAGGCCAGAAGGCGGTGTTAGATCTCTCTGAGCTATATTACAGGAAGTTGTGAGGGTGCTAGAAACAGAACCCAGGTTTTCTGCTTTTAACCACTGCCATCTCTCCTGCCCCCTACATACTTACTTTTATTTTTTTATTTTTTTTTATTTTTTTATTTTTGGTTTTTCGAGACAGGGTTTCTCTGTGGCTTTGGAGGCTGTCCTGGAACTAGCTCTGTAGACCAGGCTGGTCTCGAACTCACAGAGATCCGCCTGCCTCTGCCTCCCAAGTGCTGGGATTAAAGGCGTGCACCACCAACGCCCGGCCCCTTACTTTTAATTTTAATTATGTGTGTGTATCTGTAGGTGACTATGTGCACCTGAGTGCAAGAGCCTTTGGGAGCCAAAAGGTGGCATCAGATCCCATGGAGCTAAAGCTGTATTTCCTTGTAAGCTGCCTGATATGGGTGCTGGAACAGTATGCACCTTTACCCATTCCAGCTCCTCCTACGAGATAGTCAAAGTCCTCAGCTAAGTATGGTGGTGCATGCCTTAATCCCAGCACTCAAGAGACAGAGGCAGGTAGATCTCTATGAATTGAAGGCCATCCAGGACTGCATAGTGAAACCCTGTCTCAAAACAAAACAAATTACAAAACAACAACAAAATAAACTCCAGCTAATATGTTGAAATGAAGGCTCTTTACGTAGCTCAATTAATATATGTGGGAAAAAAATGTTTTCTAAAGAACTCTAGCTGGAGTGAGTATAGACAGAGCCCTAGAACCACAACCCCTAGAACCACAACCATTCAGTCTTCAGCTATTAAACAAACATGAAGAATTCTCTATATGGGTCCAGTGTGGTGGCACATGCCCATAATTCCAGCAGCTGGGAGATAGGGGCAGGAGGATGAGGAGTTCAAGGTTAGGCCTGGGTTACCAAAACTCTCAAAATCCCCAAAGACTTCTCCGTGCATATTCTTTTTCTCTTCTTCAAACTTGTAAAGAATTCTATGTATTTAGTGGGTGTGTACAGGTGTAGGCACACCCTGCCATCCACATGTGTGGAGAAAACAGGAAGCAGTTCTCTGTCCGTCATGTGGTTCCAGGGATATAACCCCGGCTTCCAGGCAAGTTTCTTTACCTGCTGAATCACCTCACCACCTCTCTTTTGTCTCTTCTTTTTTCTCTTTCCCCCTCTCCCTTACCCTCTTTTCCAGTTCTCTCTTGTGAGGCAGGGTTTTCGTCTAGGTCCAAGTGATTCACCTGCCTTTCTCAAAATGCTAGGGTCATATAAGTATGTAACACTGTATCCAGTTAAACAAATTTGCAGGTGATAGGGGTTGTTGAAACATGATTTCATTAGTAGCACAGGTTGGCCTTGAACTCTGATCATCCTGCCTGAGACTCCTACCATGGAATTCCAGACCTAGTCAGTTACATACTACCACACTCAACCCATATAACCTTTTTTTTTTTCACTTTTATTTTTATTTATATGTATGTGTATGTCAAGTGTGTGGGATGCCCGAGGACAGAAGGGTCAGATATCTCCTGGAGCTGAAATTACAGGTGCTTGTGAGCTGCCCAACATGGATGCAGGGAACCAAACTCAGGTCTCTGGAAGAGCACAAAGTACTTCTAACCACTGAGCCATCTCTCCAGCCCTAACACTTTCTAAAAACAACACCCTAAAGAAAGAGGAGACTGTGGATGCACCATAGGAAAAACTCCCGGAAGGAGAAGATGGGAGAAGTATCCTGTCTAGTTCCTGTTTCCAGAATCCCCACCTGACTTTGACAGCTGGGAAAGGTGGTACATACCTGTGACCTGAGCTACCTAAGCTGTGGAGAAAGGAAAACTGCTTGAAAACACAGAGAGCGGGTAGGGGAGGGAGGTGGGGTGCTTTTATAAAGTAGAACAGGGGTTAGAGCAATGGTTTAGCAGCATGGGGAACTGGCTGTCTTCCAGAGGACCTGGGATTGATTCCCAGCATCCATATAGTGGCTCACAACTCTCTGTGACCCCAGTTCCAAGGGATCTGACTCCCTTGTCTGACCTCCTTGGACAGCAGGTATGCCCACAGTGTACACATACATGAAGACAAAACACTCATATACATAAAATAATAAAATATGTTTTAAAATTAAAAATAGACCAACCACCCCCACAACTTTTCAGGTGGCTCACACCTTCCTTCCCTGTAGGATGCCTGAAGCATAGCAAAGGGGATCAAAGGTCTGCAGGCAGCTATGGGACGGGAGGGAGCCTGGACACTCCAAGGCCAACCACTTTGGTAGATGGTGAAAGCAGGGTGCTCTTACAGTCTGGGCTGCACTGGCAGAACTTCTCACAGAAATTCTGGGTCATGATGCAGGGGCAGGTGCTGTCACAGGGACGGTCTGGGTGGTCACACGGTTGGTAGTTATACACCTGCGTAGAAGAGTTATCTAAAAGAGAGCAGAGAAGGACACCGCTATGACCAGGCTCCCTCGATGCCCAGCCCTCCAAAGGTTCAAGTCAAAGAAAATGTGTCCTAGTCATGACCTTGGACACATTTAGCACCTGATAAAGTGGCTGACCATCCCCCCACCCCCACACAAACACTGTGAGGTATCTGCTTTGTGGGTAGGGTATGGAGATGGCCTGCGATAACAAGGCAGCTACTCTAAACGCAGAGGTCTGGCACTGGCAAACAGCACAGTAGGAAACTTAGAGACCACAGGTCTTAAGTTTATCTCCTGAGAGGGCATCTCAGCTGTAGCCACTGGCTCAGCCCTTGAGATGCTGCAAACAAATCTGCAATCTGCAGAAGCAGCCAGGGTCAACAAGAGAGCTATAGGTGTGGCAGGGTGATAACCACAGGGTGAGGCTTCAGTCTGAGCTGTGTGGACAAGTGTGTGTGTGTGCGTGTGTGTATACGCACGCCTAGGATGGAGCCCATAACCTTGAACATGAACACACACTCTACTCTGACCTATCCCCACCTTTCCTCAACTGAACTCACCTTTCTTCAGCTGAATTTTCCTGCAGTGTGCAGCCCACAACCTAGGAGAAAAAGATAGACGGGATAGATAGGTCCGAGTCATGGTCCTCTGAGGATGCAGACAAATGACAGTGTGCCCTGCTCTGAGGGACAGTTTGACAACTGTGAGGTACCCTTCCAAAGTTCCTTAGGAGGAGGCACCCATCTTGGTACGCAGAATCGGAGGCCCGTCTAACAAAGCAAAACTCACAAGGTTGTCTCTTATCACACTACTGCTCCTTCCTTTTCCTGCCTTCTCCTCTTTGCCAGACAGAGCTCTAAGGTGGGAAAGTCTTTCAGTGAGGAAACTGACAAGAAAGAGAGACAGGACTTCCTCTGAACTTAAAGCCACCTCCTTTCCCTGACTAGTAATACACCTCAGGGAACCTGGCTGTCAGAGTGATGGTTTATTTTTCAGACAGGGTTTCACCATGTAGCCCTGCCTGGCTTGATACTATGTAGAACAGGCTGGCCCTGAACTCACAGAGGCTCACCTAGCTCTGCCTCTCGAGTACTGGGATTAACCATGTCTAGCTACTAATTTTCTTCAATACACACTGTTATGTGATTCTGAAAACAACACATATAAATATATAGATAAAGAAAAGGAACAAACTCCTGAGAGGTGGTAAGGGGTGAAGAGGGTCGCCATCTAAGAAGGGGAAACAATCTTAGTGTAGAGTTAGAAACTCAAAAGGGAAACCAGACAGCTAGCACAAGCGTCCTCAGTGGGGGCAACAGGGAGTACTGAGGACAGTGGCTCTCATCTGAGTGGCCCAGTGACATGGGCTGGCTCTGCCCAGTGCAGTGAGTGGCCAAGACCCTGCGAGGAGGTCAGACCCCAGACAACAGAGTTCTCTGTCGTCCTTGCCTGTGCTTCCTTTTCTTCTTCTGTGAAGGGTTCATGAGCTCATCTGTGGGCAGCTTCAGGATAAGTGACTCCTTTACTGCAAACTGAAAGACCTGGAAGAGAAGCCGACAGGACCGTCACACTCAGGGCCAGGGGACCAGGCAAGTGACTGGGCAGGCGCTAGGCTTGTGAAGGATCTGGGATTTGCATCTTTTCAGTCAGAGAGAAACAGGGTGTGGCTGGGGTGGGGTGGGGGTGTCACTGGCTCTGAAGGTTTCCTGAGGCCGGGGAAGCAGAACTCTGCACACAGTACTGCTGCCCACCACGACTGCTTTCATCTACCGTTCTTCAAGCAGGGAGCTGCTCAAGGCGCTCTGCCTCTCTTAGGAAGGGAACTGCGGGTGCTGCGTGAGGCCGGATGAGAAGGGTGTCACCGGGCTAAGCACTAGCTCCCTCTGTTGGCAGAAAGGTAGCAGACCTTGGCTGTCCATTAGGGAAGACTTCCACAAGCTTCTTCCTTTATGGCATTAGTTTTCTGTCTCCTCTCCCTCTCTTCCCTATTTATTCCCTCTTTGACTAGGGACACTTCTGATATCCTGTAAAAACCACAACAGTACCAGGAAAAGATGCCTTAAAAAAAAACCACATACAATTCTACAGACTTGTAGGTTAAAGAACCTGTGCCGTGGGGTGGCAAGATGGCTGGGCAGGAGAAGCACTTGCCAAGCAACCCTGATGACCCGGGTTCAGTCCACAGATCCTACTGTGTAAGGACTGGAACCAACTCCCAAAGGTTGTTCTCTGCCCTCCACAGAACTGTTATGGCATGTGCACACTCACACACTATACACCACACACAAACACACACACTAGTAATAATAAACTTGAAAAAAAAAAAAACCCATGTCACAAGGAAGCAGATACAGATTCCAAAATGGAAGTGCACGTCCTTCTGCTCATAGCTCCTTCACCAGCCACACGGAAGAGTGTGCAACAGGCTCTCAGCCCCTCCTGAAACGTTAGGCCTAGTAATGCTCAAGAATGTGCTCCTAGCAAAAGACCAGAGACCTGCAGAATTCAGGGAGCTGTGTGATCAGGGATCTGCCGCGGTCCCCTTCTTGCTGACAGAGTGGCTCAGACACCTGTTCTCAACTCTGGTCTGTATTCTTCTTTCTTTTGAAGAATTTTATTACATTTTCATTCATTCAAGGTACATACATGCTTGTGTTTGTATAGGCACGTATGTACTGCAGTGTCAATGTGAAGTAGCTGGAAAACTACTTTCAACAGTTGGTTCTCTTCTAATGTGTGGGTCCTGGGGATCAAACTTGGGTCAGCATGTGCCTTTACCTGCAGAGCCGTCTTAGCGGTCTGCAGTCTTTTCTCGCCTCTGGAGCATCAGTAGCTGTTGTCAAACTGCATTTCCAGGGATGGTATGAGCGAGAAGGTTGAGGTCTGTACCAGGTATGGGGTGGCGGTTAGAAAAACCTAGGGCTCGGTGTGGTTGCTCACACCTTTAATCCCAGCACTTGGGAGGCAGAAGGAAGTAGAGCTCGGAGTCCAATGCCAGCCTAGTCTACATAGTGACCCCTAGGCCAGTCAAACCTGTCTCAAAAAATAAAAAATATGCACCCACATACATTCTCTCCCCCTTCCTCTGACACACACACTCAACACACACTCTAGATACACAGCAAGGAAAAGAGCAGGCGATTTGTGATCCAGGCCTCTCCATGATCTAGAGGAGATATTTACAAGACACTGAACTCAAGAAAGTTTCTGTGTGGACAATTCCGCTAAGATAGTAGAGAAAATGAGCAATGAACAGAGGGCCCACATTCATGCTGCTGCTCTCAGCAAGTACCTGTTTGCATGTCTTTGTTCCCAAAAGCCTGGCTATTGAGCAGAAGTTGTTGAAGTAGGTGCCATGGAAGACTCGGAAAAGAGATTCTTCAGCTCCAGTCCACTCCACAGGCTCTGACGGGGCTTCCACAACACAGAGCTGAGGTGGGGCTGGGCTGGTTTTCTGCTTCGTGGGGGTCTGGCAGCGAGAGTTAGCCTCTGAACAAGGGAGAAAACACAAGTGTGGAACGCAGCTGTTGCCCCTTGTCAGAGCACATCCTGTGATTGAAGGGGGGAACAGGTAGGGGTGGGAACAGCTGCTCCACCCCCCCCCGGCACACCTGTAAATCCAGCCAGTCGGCAGGGTCAGAACAAATGTGCCACTAGCTTGGCCTACTCACACAATGCACACTTGTGCATGCTCTCTGTGTGTGTGTGTAAGAGAGGGAGAGAGAGAGAAAGCGGAAGGGAGGAAGAGAGGGAGAGAAAGCGGGAGAGAGAGAGGGAGAGAGAGAGAGAGACTGACTTTCACAGCTTCCAGGTAAAGTGGGGGAAAGAAATTAAGTTTTTGGTTTTTTTTTTCTTTTCTTTTTTTGTTTTTTCAAGACAGAGTTCTTCTGTGTAGTTCTAGCTGTCCTTAAACTCACTCTGTAGACCAGGCTGGACTCAAACTCAGAGATCCACCTGCCTCTGCCTCCTGAGTGCTGGGATTAAAGGGGTGTGCCACCACGGCCCAGCAAGAATAAACAGTTTTTAAAAGGTATCCATATTATGAGCTGGGCATTGACCCTTGTCATCTTCTGTTTACCTGAAGAACTGGAGGCCCAGTCATTGCCAGTGTCCCTGTCACTGTCTCCTTCTTTAGTCTCAGCCATAGCAGAGGCAGATGTATTGGAACAGGAAGCGCTGACCACATGGTGCCTTCGCCGACGGCGCCCGGAGCACTTGGACCGAGGGTTATGGAGCATGGCATACTCCTTTGCCCCTTCCTGTGGTGAACACATTACAGGTAGGAGACAGGGTCTCCAGGATGATGCCACCATCACAAAGCTTTGTGTATAATGATACTTTGGTTTTATCTGTACCATCTAAGTGTGACCATATTATGACAGTGGTTAAACATCCGCAAGACATGGAAACATCCATTTTCACAAAAGAGGTACCATATAATCTTAAATGATAGAATCTTCACATCTTCAGCTTTCAATATATGAAATTCATTCTTGTGTTAGCAATCTGGGATTTAAGAACATCTCCTGGGGGCTGGAGAGATGGCTCAGAGGTTAAGAGCACTGACTGCTCTTCCAAAGGTCCTGAGTTCAATTCCCAGCAACCACATGGTGGCTCACAACCATCTATAATGAGACCTGGTGCCCTCTTCGGGCCTGCAGACATACATGCAGGCAGAATACTGTATGTTAAATAAATAAATAAATCTAAAAAAAAAAATATCTCCTGCAGAGGAAACCAGGGTCAGAGCAGAGGAAACCTGCTTAAACCTGTTCCATGGTCTAGAGTAGATACATGAATCAGGGCTCCTTTCCCTAGGCCACTGCTCTTCACATATGACCACAAAGCCTCTGTTTCAGTAATACATGTGTAATCTCTGGATTAGAACATTATCACATTTAATTTAGAAGCTTCTCCCAAGTCTACATATGAGACTTTGAAGAAGACATAAACTATAACCCAGCCTGGTCACACTGATTCCTAAGAATCATACCCGTTTCTGAAGAGTAGTACACTAATTCAATAGCACACACCCCATCATGCGCAATACACAGCTCCGGTTGCTTATACTCTGTGTCCTTTTCTTCCTCATTCTCCAGTGCTGGAAATGAAGCCCAGGCTTTGCACACGTAGACAAGTGCTCTACCACTGAGCTACATCCAAGCCCTATAAATAATTAGCCCAATCCTACAGAGCTAACTTCTGAGAAACCTGTGATAAAAGATAATGTAACTGATGCTATGAGATAAGAACAACTGAGTTCAGAATATGGATCATCTCACAAGACTGCACTTCCCAAAAGAAGTAACAAGGGCTGGACACCATCTCTAGGGAGGCAGAGACAGGCAGATTTCTAGGAGCTTGAGGCCAGTATGGTTTGCAGAATGAGTTCCCAGCCAGCAAGGAAAACATAGTGAGACCTTGTCTCAAAACAAACACCAAAAGGAGAAATAAATGAGGGAATTATTTGAGGTAAAAATAGCAAAATATCTAATAGCCAGATATGGTTTCTGACCTGACGATATGCATCTGAAAATGAAATCTAAGCAGACAGACTAGGGATGTTGCCACTGGAAGAAATGCATGAATCAAGTATGATGCCTTGGATTTAATCCCCAAACTCACCACAAATATTTGGATAAAGAGACAAAGATATTTCAAATCTGGGAAGGCCTCTTCCTTTTTTGTTTGTTTGTTTTTTTGGTTTTTCGAGACAGGGTTTCTCTGTAACTTCGGAACCTGTCCTGGGACTCCCTTGGTAGACCAGGCTGGACTCGAACTCACAGAGATCCACTTGCCTCTGCCTCCCGTGTGCTGGGATTAAAGGTGTGCACCACCAATGCCCAGCTAACTTCTTTCACCTCTGGGAGATGTCACGAACGTTAACAGGTAATGCATGAAAGGGGACGGAATGAGACTTGACACACAGGAGGGAGGGACTTCATGCACAAGTAGGAGAAAGTTGATTTATTCTTTCTTTTTTGCTATAACCACACAGCCCACTTCAGATGAGCAACAAGTAACATTTGCTGCATGTCCCTTCTGTTACCCTGCTAAAAATGTCTCCAAAGGCACTTGGCTTCACACTGTAGTTTTAACCAGCAATGGCAGAAACCGTATCAAGGTAGTGTATCTTTTGTCTATTATGTGGAGAGCTGAACTCCTCTGGGAGTTGCTCTGGACTAGTGCTTCTACCCCTGCCCCCCCCTCTAAGGTTACCTCCCCTTCCTCTGCCTGGCATCTGAAGTCTAAAGACAAGTCACACCTTAAGCAATTAACAATTTCACTGTAGATTCACAGAACCCAGATAACACCAGCAAGCATGTAAAATTACTGTTGAGTTTTGTACTTCACCTCACATAAATCATGTGGATGGCGGAGGTTTAAAAGCAGCATGTCGCCAGGCGGTGGTGGCACACCCCTTTAATCCCAGCACTTGGGAGGCAGAAGCAGGCGGATCTCTGTGAGTTCGAGGCCAGGCTCGACCGACAGCCTCCAAAACAATACAGAGAAACCCTGTCTCGTAAAAACCAAAAAAAAAAAAAAAGCAGCACGTCTGGGCAGGTGGCTCAGTGGGTAAAAGTGCTTGCTCCACAAGCCTGTTGACCTGAGTCCATCCCAAGGGTTCACATGGTCGGAGACAACCAACTCCTCAAGGTTTTCTTCTGATCCCCACACATGTACTATGGCACACCTCACCCCACACTCAAATGACTGAAATGTGTCTGCCTACAGAACTATAGAAACTAGCCTCAGAAGATCAAGACCCACTGAGACCTGCCAGTCAGTGAGGAAGAACACATGCCCCAGGTGACCAAGATCTCACTCTGCACACCCAGCCCTGCCTCCTGTCCATGCTTCTCACCCATACGAGCCCTCTGTGATTCTGAGTGTCCAGACACGGGACGTGAGGCAGCAACCCCACCTCTACCTTCTGAGAATGCCGGCCGTTGGGCTTAGTGGGTCATTAAAAGAAAAACCATGGCTTTTACATTTATTTCTCAGATACTGTCTGAAATCAGACTCATCCTTGAAATCATTTTAAAATCAGAACTAATACTCCTAATAACAACAACAATGGGAGCCTACTCAGGGTTTCAGAGTACTGGATTATACACACGCCAATGATGCCTTGGTTACCCCTTCAGCAAAGTATTACACACTTTACCACGTCAAAACCTTCTGTTCCCCAATCCTCCATCTTTGCCCCGTTTAGCAGTTAGCAGCCAGAACGAATGAAGGGCTGACAGTAAAGAATTGAACGGCAGACCGTTTCCAGTGTCCTTAGCAGTTCCTTTTACTTCCCTTTCCCTTTTCATCTGCAGTTACTTCACTTTCCTCTGTCCAACATTTTAAATCCTAAAGATTAAGATGCTAACTGCTAAATAATCTTTCTTTGACCTTGACAGAATCCAGAATATCTGTGACAGATAACATCATTACTGTTTAGCGTGTGCATCATCTCACAGAAACTGTGTGGATTACTCCAAAGGTTAGAAGTAATATAACTGAGATGTGCCAGTCGAGAGAAATAAGGAGGACACTCCCTGAATGACAAAGATCCTAGTTAACATGACCTTCCTGCCTGTTCCTTCTTTCCCTCCCTGTAAGCCCTTTGGGTCCCTGAGTTTCCTGAGACTTTTTTTTTTAAATAAGGTTTTTCCAGGACAGTATTTCTCTGTGTAGCCCTGGCTGTCCTGGAACTCAAGAGATCTACCTGCCTCTGCTTCCAGAGTACTGGGATTAAAGGCGTGTATCACCACCACCTGGAGATGGGGTCTTCAGGGACGCCCCCTCTCCATATCCTCAAGATGCCAGTCAGCTGTTTGAGCATACTGATCTGCTTCCCAATTTCTTATGTTCTAAGCATTGGCTCCTGTGTGACGAGCAAGCAGGTGTGTCCATACTACAATGGATCTATTTCCCTGAGACACACAGGACAACCACAAAAGGCCTTAAGATTCCTGCAGTGCTGTGGACTGACTCACTTAGCTTGTGTTCCCAAACACAGAAAGTTCAAGGGCCATTTCCTGCTCAACTTTAAACAGAGTTAACAATGTCAGAACAGCTTAAGAACCTACCAGCAAAAGGAAGCAGTCTGTGCCACATGGTTCTGGTTCAATCTTGATCTCTTTGTTCTTGCGTTTATATACATTAGGAGTGGCATGGAAAGCTGGAAAACAAAAGGCTGTATTGTTTCCAAGGCTCTATCCATTTGAAAAAGAGGGAGCAGGAAAACCGAGTTAGGGCTCGACGGCAGGTGTGGAATTTCATATAGAAGGTGACCGGCAAGGGACACAATCCTTTCAAAGCCAGAAGGCACCAAGGGACAATCATGGTGCTGAATTAGGTTGTACCTATCCGTGTAAGCCAGATCACACTGTCACTGAACAAGTAAAGACAGAACTGGCGCTCTGTAAAGCCCTCACCAGACCAGGAGCTGAGAACTCCAAACAATAAAGCAGAACACAGGGAAGGAGTTGGGGTGTGGTGGGAGGAGGAGAACCCTCAAACAGAGTAGGCACACTCACGGTGTAGGAAGCAGTCGTATTTAAAGCAGCGCCGGCAAAAAAGGGTATGGAAAGAGTGCAGAGACTGCTCCCGCTGCACCGACTTGGCATTGGGGCCATCGATGTTGGGTGTGCACTGAGGGGGAAGGGCATTGGGGTCTGACATCTCTGTTAGCTCTCGGTACCTGCAAGAAAAGAGAGAATTCCTCTCCAGGAAACTGTCTCCATTGTAGCAAGGGGGATTGCCATCCAGGCCTGGCTGCCAAGGGAGGAAAGGTGATTTTTACAGGCTTGGTGGGTCAGGAGCTGGTATAAACAACTATTGGACACACTACTGTAATTCTGCAGAGCTGGGCATAAGTTTCAAATTCAGGAGGCGGCGGCTTGGGAAGTACAGTTCTAGCCTACGTACCCAGAAGGACAGAGTAAGTTTTCTGTGTAGATGTCCTCAAAAGCCACTACGGAATGATCCCAAAGGACATTGAGAGGTAAGTAAGTCAGTCAGTCAGAAGTGCAGGCAAACCATGGCTCACTTACCATCAGCAGGGCTTTTTTGTTTTTGTTTTTTGAGGCAGGGTTTCTCTGTGTAGCTTTGGAGCCTGTCCTGGCACTCGCTCTGTAGACCAGGCTGGTCTCGAACTCACAGAGATATCTGCCTGCCTCTGCCTCCCAAGTGCTGGGATTAAAGGCGTGTGCCGCCACTGCCCGGCAACAGGACTTTTTACTAACCAAAAAAACCAAGCTTGAATAAGAATTTATCTATCAACCCTGGGTACAGCCTGAATGGAAGGAACAGTTCTCCCTACCTCTCCTTCATGTCATCGGGCACACCATTCTCAGGGAACATCGAAGCGATGGCGCTGAAGATCATGTCGTTTGGAAACTGCTTCTTGGAGCTCTTTTTGTTGCCTGAATTGGAAAACAACAGTGAACGCCTGAGCGCAGACAGAGGAGCTGTTTCATTTTTTCTCTCTGTCACAGCACAACGATTAGAGCTGCTGTGCTCAAGGAAACATCAGCTATACTGATAATGAAGCCTATGGTCCCTGTTAGAATCAAGGAGGAAGAGGAGATTCATGAAGAGCTGAAGACAGATGAATCCTCCATAGCATCGGTGCTGAAGAACGAGGCTGACACTGCAGCTCTGCCACAGGAAGAGAGAGACACTATCCCTCCCCATACACTTAAATACATAGTGTAACTCAGCAGCTCCTTCTTTTTTCCATTTCTGTGCATGTGTGGGCACACGTGCACCTGAGGTGAGGTCCTGAGGTTAACGTCTGAACCGTCTTCCTCTATTGCTCCTCCGTCTCATTCACTGGCCCCGAGTTTGCCGAATGACTCCAGCTTCCCCAGTCAGTTTGTCCTGGGGATCCCGTCTGCACCTTCCAAGGCTGGGACTACAGACAGGCTACCATACCCATCCTGCATTTACATGGGATCTGGGGATCTGGACTCCAGTTCTCAGGCTTACAGAGCAAGAACTTTAACCACTGAGCTATCTCCACAGCCCACTAATATTGAATTAAATACCAGTGACATGGAAAATGTTCATAAAATTTAATTAAGAAGATAAAAGTTTATATCACGCACCCACACAATCTCAATTTTGCATGAGCTGATTTATATATGTACAATTTAAAATCTACAAGCAATTGAAAATCTGATTATTCCTATGTAGCAAGATTGTAGTGTAATTGTATTTTCTCCTTTATACCTTCCCAGATTTTCCAAACACATTAGAATTAGAAACTAATAGCAGTGATTATTCTAGGAGCTTTTCTACTTTCTTCTTCATCTAGTTCATAGCCAGCTGAAGCTATCAGTGTTAACGACTATATTCCCTTATAAGTGGACCAATGAGAAGCATGAATGGTTTTTAAAGGACACTATGCCGTAAGTTTTTCCTTCTTCCCTGTCCCTGTCAATTTCAACACTCTGGGGAAGCAGGGCTACGCACCTTCCATAGCATGGCGTTTCCGCTTTCTTGTTACCGGCAGGTCGTCTTTGCTGTCATCTTGCTTCCCGTCGGAGGTGTCATTGTGCCCTTCCTCTTCGTCATCTGAGTACTGATTGAGGGCATCCACCAGCTCCAGGAAAACAGCATCACTGATCAGAACAGACCCAGGAATCATCTCTGAAACACAAGGGTAAAGGTGAGCTCACTTCACACTCTTCATCTTCCCAGGTAGGTCCTTTTTCCCTTAAGACAGGGTCTTGTCAGGTGTGGTGGTGGCACACGTCTTTAATATTAGCACTTGGGAGGCAGAGGCAGGTAGGTCTCTACCAGTTTGAGGCCAGCCGGGTCTATCTAGTGAGTTCTAGGACAGCCAGGGCTACATATTGAAATCCCGGGGGGTTGGAGAGATGGCTCAGTGGTTAAGAGACCCTATCTCAAAAAACCCCCAAAAACCTAAACAGGGTCTCCTGTATCCCAAGCTAGCTTGAGTGCTGGAACTCCAGGTGTGTATTACCATGTCTGGTTTTATGCAGTACAAAGTCTATCAACTCAGCCCAATCCCCAGCATTTAGGTAGGCTTTCTTATGCCCACTCTTGAGGTCTAGGGATGTAATATACCACTTGATTAGTGCTAACAACTGCAACAGTTAGCTGGCTAAGTAGAAAACCCAGTTAGAGGCTTTATTTTTATTAGAATACTTCACACCTGTGGTATTTATGGTTCAAAAATCTCAACAGCAAGCTGGGCACACACCTTTAATCCCAACATTCAGGAGGCAGAGGCAGGCAGATCTCTAAGTGAGTTCAGAACAGCCAGCACTGTTAAACAGAGAAACCCTGTGTCCAGATAACAACAAAAGGTGTACCAACAATCCCAAGCAAAGCAGAGAAAGAATAGCCAGGTAAAACTCACTGGGCTTTCTGCTAATGTATCAATAGTGACTTCTCCTAATCAAGACAGCACTTTTTCCTAAAATCATACTGCATGGTTATATTGCAACGTGAAAGAATGTCTTTGAACACTAGAGGGTGCTGTGATGTATAATATATTTGAATGTTAGCAAAATAGCACACACAAACTGCCAAAAGTAGGTACAATTCATGGGGAGTCCCTCCTCTTCATACATCCTTCTTTAGTAGTGAAGACTGAACTCAGGACTGTGGAAGAGCTAGGCATGCCTCGACCACTGAGCTATATACCAGGTTTTTTTGTTTTTGTTTTTTCTGATTTGAGAGAAGGTCTCACAGGGTTGCCCAGTCTGGCATTGAACATCCTCTACAGCCTTAGGCAGGCTTCGAATATGTAATCCTCCTGCCCCATTCTCCTGAGTAGCTGAGATTACAAGGGTGTGCCACCATGCCCAGCTCCTCTTCCTACTTTTGATTCACTGATAACCTTTTCTAGAATTAAAGCTAAGAGCTGGCAAGATGGCTCTTGGGTAAAGGCTGCCAAGGCTGATGACCTGAGTTCAATCTCTAGCGCCAACACGCTGGAAGGGGAGAGTCTACTCTTTGACCTCCACACCCATACTGTGGCATGTGTGGACTGCACCCCCAAAATAAATGTTTTAAAACAATTTTAAAAATAATTGTTACAGCTGGGTGGTGGCGGCGCGTGCCTTCAATCCCAGCACTCAGGCGGCAGAGACAGCAGGATCTCTGTGAGTTCGAGGCCAGCCTGGTCTACAAAACTACACAGAGAAACCCTACCTTGAAAAACCAAAAGGAATTGTTACAACATGGGGCTGGAGAAATCACTCAGAAGAGTTAAGAGGGTGGAGTGTCCCAGGACTCAGGGCTCTGCACCCAGAGTTGCTGCAGGTCATCAGTAACTTAAGTTCCAAGGGATTCACTGCCCTCTTCTGGCCTCCTTGGGCACTGCATGCATGTGGTACACAGACACTGCCGAAGCAAAATCATATATAGAACAAAATGAAATCTCAAAAGGATTTTTAAAAATTACAACTAAGGGGCTGGAGAGATGGCTCAGAGGTTAAGAGCACTGATTGCTCTTCCAGAGGTCCTGAGTTCAATTCCCAGCACCTACATGGTGGCTCTCAACCATCTACAATTCAATCTGCGCCCTCTTCCGGCATGTAGGCAGAAAACACTGTATATGTAATAATAAATTTTTTTTTTTGTTTTTCGAGACAGGGTTTCTCTGTGGCTTTGGAGGCCGTCCTGGAACTCACTCTGTAGACCAGGCTGGCCTCCAACTCACAGAGATCTACCTGCCTCTGCCTCCCGAGTGCTGGGATTAAAGGCGTGCGTCACCACCGCATAATAAATAAATAAATCTTTAAAAAAATTACAACTGCCGGGCGTTGGTGGCGCACGCCTTTAATCCCAGCACTCAGGAGGCAGAGGCAGGCGGATCTCTGTGAGTTCGAGGCCAGGCTGGACCGACAGCCTCCAAAACAGAGAAACCCTGTCTCGTAAAACCAAAAAAAAAAAAAAAAAATTACAAAGTTCAAACGCTTTGCATTTATAAAATAAGGATATTTAAGTCAATTTCTGAGAAATCCAAAGGATACCTGGATGAAAGCAGTATGAAGAAATGCTCACAGAGAAAGGGAAAGGAAAAGCAGAATGGCCTCTGATGGGACTTATGGGAAATGTCAAAGATTAAAGTCACTTGTTCAATAAACACACTCCTAGCCGACTACTAGGTAATTATTTTCTTGACCCAGCTCCTTCTGCAATTTACCTGGGACTTTAAATATAAAATTGTAATCCCAAATCACATCCTCACACTGGAATGTTCTTGTGCGTGCCCCCACAGGGCCGTGAGCGAAGGCAGCAGCACGCTAGATGCCTTCCTTCCCCCAGCAAGCCCAGCATACTACCTTCTTCACCATGAACTTTGCCATCGTAGTTATTGATCAGCTCCTCGATGAAGGTTTCGTCTTCTTCCTTCACCTCATCACCCATGTAGGGGATATTGCACAAAACCGTCTCGTCTTCCACCTGCAGAAAACCAGGCAGATTCATGCCGCAAGTTACCCTGTCTCTCCTCTTTCCGACACAATGGAACATTTGCTGGGCTGTTCTTTCATTTGGCTTCCTAGTCTGAAAAAAAACCTCTGTGGACACAGACTTTCCATGCATTTTAAAGACTAGTCATTTGCTTTGCCAACAAAACCTCAAGCAAAAGGAACAATAGTACTCTTGGGGGGAGGGACGGGACAGTTTAATCAATATTAAGGAATAATTCTAAAGAATAAAGAAGAGAAGGGTGTTCGGCTGAGAACACAGACACATACCAAAAAGCTAAGCACACACCTTATCACTAAGTTACACCCCAGGGCCAACCCAGTCATTCATAAATCCCCAAGGATCAAGTAAAATCACTTGCATGTTTTATCTGAGAGATGACTCCCTCTTGTAGAGCTGAATCCTAGTAGGAGGCAGGATAAAGGACTTCATGAAGGCACTGTTACCCAGAGCAACTTCAGCAGACACAAGCACCTTGCCATTAGAGGATTCCAAAAGACTTGCTCCATCAGCAGAGTTGGCAGCTTGCTTAAGCCTTGAGTGTCTGATTCTGATTCAGCCATATTTAACTGGGACTAATTATTACAAAGTTGGGTCAAAGTAGTATGAAAATTGGGAGTCTTGTCCTAACTTGTTAATTACAGAAAGCAGCAATCAGAATTATATATTAAAGAGCACCAAAATCTAACAGGATGGGGCAACTTTCAGAGTGTGTGTGTGTATTGTACGAGTTCATGCATGCATGTAGGGCACATATATGTAGAGGTAAAGGACAACTTGCGAGAGTCAGTTTTGACTTCTACCATGTGGGTCCTGGAGATGCAGCTCAGGTTATCAGGCAAGTGGCAGGTGCTTGTGTCTCCTGAGGCTCTCAGTGGCCTGTAATGTATATAATTTTAGAGCAAGTTACAATAATCTTCTGCTCTGGATGTCCAAGCTTTGTGGAATGCCCTGACAATCTTTAGAAGTTCACACAGATTAGCATAAAATGACAACACAGTTTTAACAACTGCCATAATGGTTTCAATACATACCATGAAGTTCTGCTGGAGAGGGGACCAGGAATACATGATGGGAACCAATGCAACAGTGTTCAGAGACCTCATCAGCATATTCTGGCTGGCAAACCCTGGGAAAAGGCTCTCTATGGTACACTGAAAGAACAGCAGTGACACAGAGAATGAAAGTAAGCACACAACTCAAGAGAGATCAGCTACGATGGCTCCATGCCTACAACCCCAGCACTCAGGGGGCTGAGGCAGAAGAACTGCTGTGTGTTTGAGGCTAGCTAGGTTACAGAGAAAATCAATAAAAACAAAACTATAAGAGACACACTAGCAGGGCATTGGTGGCGCACACCTTTAATCCCAGTACTTGGGAGGCAGAGGCAGGCAGCTCTCTGAGTTTGAGGCCAGCCTGGTCTACAGAGAGAGTTCTACAACATCCAGGGCTGTTCCACAGAGAAATCCTGTCTTGAAGAGAGGGAGAAAAGAAAAAAAAGAGGCAAAGCATTTTATATGAAGGGAGTTGTGATGAACTCGCATTTTGACTGTGAAGCAGACTTTTTTGTGCTATGTTGTTTACTCAAGGAATAGGAAAGAAGAAATAAGCCTGAAAGCAATCATATTTATGGTTCATTTCTGATTCTTTTATAATGTATCTGCACTCTTTGGGGGACTCTTGTTTTGAGTTGGTGAATCTTGATTACAAATCAGTTACGCAGAGAGAACCTGTCTCGAAAAACTAAAGGAGGGAGGAGACTGTAGCTTCCTTCCAAAAAGATCTCAATGTTTTCTTTTTTCCCTAAGAGCCAAGATTACAGGTGTGTGTGCTGCCTCAGTTTTGTGCAGAGATCTTGGGGTCAAACCCAGGGTTTCATACTCATTGGGTAAACATTCGACTGACTGAGCCACATCCTCATCTCTGTGTTCTTTTAAATCTCTTTAGATTTATTTTGAATTGTGTATGTCAGTGTGTGTCTGCATATGGGTGCAAGTGAGTGTAGGTGCCTGCAGAGGTTAGAAGTATCATATCCCTGGAGCTAGGGTTACAGCGGTTGGGAGTCACCAACGTGGATTCCGGGAACCGAACTCAAGTCCTCTGCATGAGCAGCATGTGCTCTTAACCACTGAGACACGTCTCTAAATTCTTCTAAGATGGTCAAGGGTATTAGCACCAGGCCCTGAAACCATTGAGCTGTGGAAAGCAGGAGTTGTCTCCTATTCATACCTGTGTTCCCCAGAGTTGAGCATGATGCTTGTCTTACTCAACAGAGGCTCATTTCAACCAAAATGTAGGTCTCCTAAAGATCCCTCAAGTCTTAGGGCTTGAGATCAGGGACGATTCCTAAAAGATCTAAACTGGATACAGCTGCAGAGGTGATGGGGCCTTCACATGGGGAAGCAAATGGTATATAAATTAGAGTTGTATCTATTTAAGGAATGATCACTGGTCTTTTCTTTCTTTCTTTTTTTTTTTTTTTTTTTTTTTTTTTGGTTTTTCAAGACAGGGTTTCTCTGTATTGAGGCTGTCCTGGAATTTGCTCTGTAGACCAGTCTGACCTGGAACTCACAGAGATTCGCCTGCCTCTGCTTCCCCAGTGCTGGGATTAAAGGCATGCGCCACCAACACCCAGCTGATCACTGGTCTTTTTACACTATCAGCTTTTTGTACTTAAAAATATTATTAGGCAGTCAAGATGGTTCATTAGGTTAAGATGCTGGCCACCAAATTGGTGACCTAAGTCTAACTGCTGGGACCCACATGTGGAAGAAGAGCATTTACCTTTATGCATGAGTACAAGCACGTAAGCGTGTGTGTGTGTGTGTGTGTGTGTGTGTGTGTGTGTGTGTGCGTGCACACACACATATGTAAGCAAAATAAATATGTGCACTAAAAAATTAACAGTAAACCGGGCATTGGTGTCACACGCCTGCTCTGGTCAGCAGGGCACAACAAAGCCAAGCCCATGGGAGCCTGGAACGATGGGACAAGAGGCACAAAGAACAGACAGGAAGACAGAGCTTCCAATCAAGCTGCGAGATTTTATTTTTTTCAGGCCCATTATATGGGGGGGACACGACTAGGTAGGGTGGAGTAATCAAAGGAGAGGGGTCGTTGCCCAGTAACCAGGCCACTGAAGAGGGTCAGCTAACTGGTGTTGGCAAGGTTAAAGGGTCGCAGAGGGAGGAGTTAAGTGATCTAATTGTGGAATGTTTCCTTTTTGCCATAGGTTATCTCTGTGAGCCCAAGTTCTATTCCTTAGGAAGCTGGGGAGGGCATGGACTATTCTTTAAAAAGACTGGCAATATTTACAAAAGGTTCTAAATAACAATGATCACTACCAACACATGCCTTTAATCTTAGCACTCGGGAGGCAGAGGCAGGTGGATCTCTGTGAGTTCAAGGCTAGCCTGGTCTATAGAGTGAGTTTCAGGACAGGCTCCAAAACTACACAGAGAAACTGTCTTGAAAAACCACAAAAGGGGGTGGAGAGATGGCTCAGAGGTTAAGAGCACTGACTGCTCTTCTAAAGGTCCTGAGTTCAATTCCCAGCAACCACATGGTGGCTCACAACCATCTACAATTCAATCTGGTGCCCTCTTCTGGCGTGTAGACAGAATACTGTATATGTAATAAATAAATAAATCTTAAAAAAAAAGAAAAAGAGAAACCACAAAAATAAAAAATAAAAAAGATGGGCTCTCAAGGAGCCAGGGTAACCTCAAGTTTACTATGTAACTGAGGCTGACCTCAAACCCCTTATTCTTCTGCCTCTACCTCTTGAATTAGGGCTGTAAAAGCATGTACCACTATGTCCAGCCAGAATGTGTTTTTTAAATTCATAATTCAATTTAATAAATAAGTGAATATATTTATTCATAGTAAGGCAATCCCTCTCAAAAGTATATTTCTGACCATTACCCAGAGAATTCCTAGTATCTAAACTAAACACATGATAGGTTGTCATGTAGCTTGGGCACAAAACTCAGGAAAAGAGATACTAAATGTTTTGTTTCTCTATGAAAAAGTCACAATTATACCCTAGAGGAGGACAGTAGACAAAATGGTTAATTTTCAAGCTAGATGTATAACTTTGTGTCCAAGGAGAAAGGAAGGCGGGCTTAACACCCTGAAGTACCTTTTTGAGAAAAGGATGCCCACTCACAGGCTTCATGGGCTGAACGGGCTGAACTCGAAGTTTCTTCCATTCTTCATTGAGGATCTGGGTTTTTTCTTGAACCTTTGCAAAATTTGCCACATACAGAGCCTAGCAAAGCCAAGGAAAAGACTGTCAAGAGTCAACGCAGGTCTCAAAGGAGAAATGCACAGAACATACAACCTTGCTCTAAGGAACTGTTTCTTTTTTTACCTTTGCTCCCATATTTGCCTGAAGCCGTTTGAGCTGCCGGAGGCGCATGTATTCAGATTTCACTTTTCTTTTCCAGTACGTGATGCATTTGGAAGTTGGGGGATTTGCTATATCCATTTTCCTGGACTCAAGATAGATATGACAAATAGCACTTGATTACTGGGAAAAGGAGATGTCCTCAGACTCAAGTGAATATGGTCAATTATGTGTCTATTCTCATTAAATTAACCATAAAAATGTACATCTGGAAACCCAAATATGGTGAGTTTCAAATTTCAACTGAAAACAGACTTTTGGAATATTTTCTGGTGGCACTGTGAAAAATTCTAGTGCCTGTCATCCTTCGATAATGTTTTACATTTAACACTGGAGCTGCATGAAGCAACTCACTCAGAGATCTGTTTAATAACCTGTGTGGCTCTAAGTTCTAGCTCCAGCACTGCAACAGAAACAAACAAAAGGCTGGAGGGCATTATAGTGAATGCTGTGATCCCCTCACTTGGGAGACAGAGCAAGGGAAACAAAAGGTTGGAGGGCATTATAGTGAATGCTGTGATCCCCTCACTTGGGAGGCGGAGCAAGGGAACCAGGAGTTCCAGGCTGGCCTGCTGCACACAGCAAAACTGTCTCAAAAAACAAACCAAGGGTGAAGCTCAGTGGTACAGTACTTACTTACTTGGCAAAAACAAGACCCTGAGTTCAATACCCAGGCAATCAATACCAGGCTATTAGGGACTTGACTTTTTTTTTTTTTTGACACATGGATGCCTATTCACTAAATTCAAAATATTTAAGGATTTATTTTTCTTATTTGTAATTACATGTATGTGTATGTCTCTGTATGGGTGTGTCCTTGTACTAGTGCTTGAGTTTTGAGTATTTTAGACTCCAAAACGGAGTCACAAGCAGCTGTGAACAGCCTGGTGTGAATGCTGGAACCAAACCTAGTTCTTCTGGAAGAGTTGCAAGCACAAGTACCTGTAACTCCAGTTCCAAGGGATCCAACACCCTCTTGTGGCCTCCTCGGACACTACATATGCATGATACACAGGCATAACACTCACATACATAAATAAATAAAAAAAGAGAGGGGGCTGGAGAGATGGCTCAGAGGTGTAGAGCACTAGCTACTCTTCCAGAGGTTCTGAGTTCCATTCCCAGCAACCACATGGTGGCTCACAACCAACTGTAATAAGATCTGGTGCTCTCTTCTGCCCTGTAGGCATACATGCTGGCTGAACACTGTATATAATAAATCTTAGAAAAAAAAATGGAAAAAGGAAATCCTGGGTTTTTTTTTTTTTTATGATTCATTGTTGTTGGGTCTGTGTGAGACTGTCGAATCCCCCAGAACCGGAATTACAGACAGTTGTGAGCTGCATGTAGTTGCTGGGAATTGACACCAGGTCCTCTTGAAGAGCAGCCAGTGCTGTTAACGTTGAGCTAACCCTCCAGCCCCAAAAGAGGGGGAATGTTTTAACCAAATCTCACAAGCTTGATAGAAGATCCTCCTACAGTACAAACGTTCTAAAGTACGCCATGACAACAGGATACTCTCATCTCCAAGTCAGCAGCAGACCTACAGACACTGACTACACTCTTTTAGGAGTACAGGTTAAACCACAATTGAATATTTAGAGAATTTAGTGTGATATGCTCTACTTACCTCACAGAATGCAGTTAGAAATGCTAGATTTTATAATGTGCCTTTGTTCTTCAGATGAACTGCAAGACCTAAGGGCAAAAGAAGTACTCAGCTTTGCAAGAGAATAAAAAAAATGGATTTATTGAATCAGCGCAGCTTGCTCAAACACTGAGCCCCCTGGGCAGGATGCTCCCCCAGAACTAGTGGACTTCAGGGTCTCTGCTGCCATTCTGCATATTAAGTCTCAAAGATGCTTGACACCCCTCCACATCCCCATGGCAGGGTTCCTCTGTGTAATAGCTTTGGCAGTCCTGGAATTCGCTTCATAGAGGACCAGGCTAGCCTTGAACTCACAGAGAAAGAGACAGATCCCTCAAACAGGAGTTACAGGTGGTTGTGAGCCACCAGCTTGGGTACAGGTGACTGAAATCAGATCCTCCAAAAGGGCTACTAGTGTTCTTAACCACTGAACCATCTTGCCTGTCCCTTAAGAATTATTTGTATTTATGTGTCTGTGTGAATACACACAACAGGCATACAGGTCCTCATAGATGAAAAGAGTTTTGGATCCCCTGGAGATGAAGTTACAAGAGAACATAAGACACCCAATATGGGTGCTGGGAACCAAACTCAGGTCATCAGACAGAGCAGCAAGCACCTCTCCAGCCCAAGGAAAACTTAAAGTCAATAATGTTTTACCTTCCTACTTTAATTTTTTTCAAGACAGGATTTCTTTGTGTAGCCCTGGCTATTCTGGAACTAGCTCTAGAGACCAAGCTGGCCTCAAGATCTGCCTGTCTCTGCCTCCTAAGAGCTGGAATTAAAGGTGCGGGCCACCACCAAACTGTTAGATCAATACATTTTTATTTAAGGATTTTACGTGTTATGGTTTTTTTTCCCTCACTGCCCATAAAGTTCACTGTTTCTTAAGGTTCAAGATGTTTGCAAATGACCTTTTTTGTATTGTTTTGAGACAGAGTCTCTTGCAGCCCTGGATGGCCTGGAACTCACTATGTGGACCAGGCTGGCCCTGACATTAAATCAGTCTGCTCTACCTCCTAAGGGCCAGGATTAAAGAAGCACGTGTAAACAAGCCAAAGAGCACATGATTTCAAATCTGAGCTTCTGTTATCCCCACTTGAATTACGGGCATACTGACAACCCCAAAGTTCCCCATCTGAAATCTCCAGCATATAATTCCATTGGGGGGGGGTTCGAGGACTTCTCTGTATCGCTTTGGAGTCTGTCCTGGAACTCGCTCTGTAGTCCAGGCTGGCCAGGACTCACAGAGATCTGCTTGCTCTGCCTCCCTAGTGCTGGGATTAAAGGCCTGTGCCACCAACGCCCAGCTTGCATCTAATTTCTTTTTTTTTCTTTTTTTCTTTTTTTGGTTTTTTCGAGACAGGGTTTCTCTGTGGCTTTGGAGGCTGTCCTGGAACTAGCTCTTGTAGACCAGGCTGGCCTGGAACTCACAGAGATCCGCCTGCCTCTGCCTCCCGAGTGCTGGGATTAAAGGCGTGCGCCACCAATGCCCGGAGCATCTAATTTCTTAAAGCCATTTGCTTCTACACAGGTTGACTGCCTGGTTCTCAACTGTTGTCATCCTAAACTGGTCTACTTTCTTTGGTTCTCTGTTTTAAGACAAAGCCTCACATAATCCAGGCTGCCCTTGAACTCCCTATGTATTGAAGGGTGAGTCTGCATTCCTGATACTCCTGCCTCCATCTCCCAAGAGCAATGACTATAGGTGTGAACTGTCACATGTGGTTTGTCACTTCTGCCCTGAACAGAGTTAACAGCCTGCTCCAGGAAATGAAAAAGTACTTCAAACCACAGACTGGTCAGGCTACCTCAGAAATCTTAGGCCATCTTTATTGAGACCCAAATGTTGTCATTTACAATTCAATGAGACATCGGCAGTCTCCTTTAACAGAAATTCTCATTGCTTTTATGCCCGAACCCACTCTTTTTCTTTTTTTAAAGATATGTCTTGCTTTGTAACCCAGGATGGTTTTGAAGAAGGCAAGACCCTTCTGAAGCAGCCTCCCAAGTGCAAAGATTACAGGAGCAAACACTCCATACTTTGAAGTAAACTGGAAATTGGTAACAGGAAGAACTTACTGGATCACAGCTGCTGACAGTACTTAGAGTGGTGGTAATGGGAGAGAGGGAGTGATGGTCATGGTGGTGTATGTTTACATTTCTTAGAGGAAATGGTCACAGAGACACGCCAGTATTTCCAATAAAGGGAGGTCATAACTGATGCTATCTATCTCTTACATGCAGTCTCTTAAGAGCGATGGCAGGAGCAGAATAATCCAACAATTAAAAGCACTACTCCTAATTTTTCCCTCAAGTGTTTTATTTGGCAAGGAGTATATGCACATGAAAATGCCCTTAAGTTTTAACTAGTCACATTTCTGCTTTTACAATTTGTGTGATATCTGAGTGCCCATGAACCAGTATTTATTTCACTTGACTTTTTAATGGGTCTTCTATGTCTCTAAAAGTTTTTCTGGCAGATGATTCCTCACAGAATGTAGAAAGAAATGGAAGATACTGTAGGGAGGCATAAGAATGATTTAGAAAAAACACTTGAGAGGGCTGGAGAGACGGCTCAGCAGTTGAGAGCATCGGATGCTGTTCAAGAGGACCTGGGTCCCGTTCCCAGAGCCCCAGAGCCCACCTGGCAGCTCACAGCCATGCCCAGCCTCAGGACATCTGATGCCCGCTTCCGGCCTCTGAGCCACCAGACAAAGCAACCGTACCCGAAAAATAAAATAAAAAACCAAAGCACAACACTTGAAGCACAGCTACATGACAGCATAGCAGCAGGATCGTAATCAAAGGCTATCACAACAAAGTCAAGAAAAAGTAAAGCAAACAAACAACTAAGCATTTGGAACAAGTTTGGAGAGAAATAGGTCATCCATGTTAGGCAAAGGAGTGGTGCACAAAAAAAAGTTTCTATTTTCCTAGGCTTATTTACATAAGCCAATCACCAATTATACTTCAGTTAAGTATTGGAAGCCTTACATTATTGTCTTTGCATGCTGAAGACATAGTGTTTGGGGCTTAAGTCTTCATATAATTAACTTCAGCTCCATTAAGACAGCTCAACAAGGCCGGGCGTTGGTGGCACACGCCTTTAATCCCAGCACTTGGGAGGCAGAGGCAGGCGGATCTTTGTGAGTTCGAGGCCAGCCTGATCTACAAAGTGAGTTCCAGGACAGCCTCCAAAGCCACAGAGAAACCCTGTCTCGAAAAACCAAAAAAAAAAAAAAAAAAAGACAGCTCAACAAAGAACAGCATTTCAATAAGATGCACAAAGAACTCAACCTATTAGTCACTGGGAAATGCAAATTAAACGCAATAAGGGGCTAGAGAGATGGCTCAAGGGCTAAGACCACTCACTGGCTGCTTGCTCTTTCAGAGTCCAGTTCTCAGGGTTCACACACAGCCACCTCTAACTCCAGCTCCAGGAGATCTGACGCCCTCTTCAGGCCTCTGAGGACACCTGTACTCACATGCACATACAAACAACTAAAAATAAAATAACTCTTAAAAAAATCATGAGATCTTAAGTATACCCACTAGAATGGCTAAATTAGAAAAGGCTGATACAACTAATTACAAGTGTGCTTGTGAAGCCACCAGAACCCTTACACTGCAGGTAGGAACGCAAAATCCGTAAAGGTGCTTGTTGCCCACTCGGGAGCAGAGGCAGGTGGATCTCCGTGAGTTCGAGGCCAGCCTGGTCTACAAGAGCTAGTTCCAGGACAGCCTCCAAAGCCACAGAGAAACCCTGCCTCAAAAATCAAAAAAAAAAAAGGTACTTGTTGCCAAGTCTGACAACCCAAGTTCCATCCATGGAACCAACACGGTGGAGAGAACACTACTCCTGAAAGATGTCCTCTGACCTCAGTGTGCACACGAAGAAAAGCAGAAAACGAAGTGAAACATAACCTGCCATAGCAGAAAAATGACAACACATGTCACTGCAAAGGCCATACCAGCCCCTTTACTATGTTTTTTTTTTTTTTTTTTTTTTTTGGTTTTACGAGACAGGGTTTCTCTGTATTGTTTTGGAGGCTATTGGTCCAGCCCCGCCTCGAACTCACAGAGATCTGCCTGCCTCTGCCTCCCGAGAGCTGGGATTAAAGGCCTGTGCCATCACTGCCCGGGCGCTTTACTATGTTAATAACTAGGTTACTGTTAATAAGCAAACTAAGAAAGGCTTTGGAACCACATAGCACTAGAGCCTTTCAGTTTTTCCATCTTGTTTTTAATTAGTATTTATTTGAGTGTTTGGTCTACATGATTGTGTGCCATGGGAAGGCCTGGTGCCCTGAGAGTTCATAACACATCGTCAGATCCCCTGGAACCGTAGTTAAGGCCCATGTGGGTGCTAAAAACCAAATCATCTACAAAAGCAACAAATACTCTTAACAGCTGAGTCATCTCTCCAGCACCTTGCTTTTTCATTTTCAATTCATAATGGAAATGAGAAGGCTAAACCTACTCTGCACAGAACCCGTATGGATGTGTGTGTGTGTGTGTTGGAATCATTCTGATCTCAATTTTATCAACATTGGTATGAAAATTAGCCCTGAAGCAAGGAACACAATGGGACAGAACCTTCAATTATGTTTTTTTGGTTGTGAGTCTAGCCTCCAACGGCCAAGCCATCTATCCAGCCGGAACCTTCAATTATGATATAAGCACATTTTGTGTTTATTCAGGTGTGTCCAACCTGTGGCCCAAAGGGTGTCAGCATCCCAGGAATAGTTATAAATGCAACCCAACACATTTGTAGATGAGTGTCAAAAGGCTGAACACCAAGATGCTCTTCTATTTCCCCAAAGGATTAACATATGACAAGGTTAGTTACTGAGCACAACGGGCCTCTTGTTACTACTTGGGAAGGAGAGGGAGGTGAATCTCTAAATTCAAGGCCAGCCAGGTCTACAGAGCAAGTTCCAGGACAGCCAGGACTACACAGAGAAACCCTGTCTCAAAAAACAAAACACCAGGATCTCATGTATTCCACCTAACCTCAAATTTGCTAGGTCAACCTGGGTGACCTTGAACTACTGAGCCTCCTACCTCAACCCTGAGTGCTGAGATTACAGGCATGAGCCACCACACCTAGCTTGCTGTGAACCAGAATCCTAACTAAAGAACTGTAACATTAGTATTTCCTAGTGTTCAACAGAACCAGGTCATTGCCACTGGAGGCAACAGTGACAAAAATCAAAGCAGGGTTGGTTTGGGGAGATTTTTATTTTTATTTTTTTTGGTTTTTACGAGACAGGGTTTCTCTGTATTGTTTCGGAGGCTATCGGTCCCGCCTGGCCTCGAACGCACAGAGATCCGCCTGCCTCTGCCTCCCGAGTGCTGGGATTAAAGGCGTGCGCCACCACCGCCCGGCGAGATTTTTATTTTTATTTCCAGGAACTAAGGAAAATGCTGTCTTGGAGAAGAGTTACAGCAGCCTGTTACAGGCAGGGCCCTGCCTTGGCTGGTTCTGTACTACATCAGCATAAAGTTTAATGTTAGGGACTATCCATTATTGTTTGATTAAAAACAAGATTTAAGTTACACTTGTTCACATACAAGTATTAGATAAAAGAGTAAGAAAGAACATAAAAAATGGGTGGTAGTGGCCTTTAATCCCAGCACTCAGGAGACAGAGGCAGGTAGATCTCTGAGAGTTTGAGGCCAGCCTGGTCTACAAATCGAGTTTCAGGACAGGCCCCAAAGCTACACAGAGAAACCCTGTCTCGGGAGGGAGGCGGGGAGGGAGGGAAGGAAAGAAGAAACCCGTGACCCTGAGGTCTGGAGTCCCGAATGATGACCTAATGAGACTAAAGGCAGGAACCCGACACACACGTGCACAGAAAGAAAACAAAACAATCTGGGACTTTCCAGAATGGAAATATTTTAACAGCGAGCTTGGGTCTGTTTGCTTTTCAAAGCACTGGGGACCAAATCCAGTTGGGACCTCCATTCCCTGCCAGTCTCTCCTTCCTCAGTTATCCCTCCAATCTCAAACTACAAAGCTCCGTTGAACAAGACTTTCAGGAAGTAAAATTTCAATGTGGACTCTAGCCTTAGTCTTCAGGTGTTTCAAAGAGCAGTAATGTAACCACCGTCATGAAAAGGCATTTTTCACTTTAGAGTTTGAGATCTGGGCTTTTAGCATCAAGTCCCATGACTGGCCTCCATGTGCTCTGTCAGTGGCAGAATTAGGAACATATATTCTCTCATTTATTTACTTAAACACTGTAGAAAGCACTTGCCACGTGCTGGATACTGTTTTTGATGCTTGGGGTACATCTGCAAGTAAAACACACAAACATCTTTGCTCTTTAGGTTGATTCACAAGGTCCGTTGAAAAAGCCCCCCCCCAAAAAAAAGACTGGGTTGTTGTGTATAACAGCTCTGGCTGCCCTGGACCTCTGTGTAGACCAGGCTGTCCTGGAACTGAAAGAGAGCTGCTTGCTTCTGCTTCCCAAGTGCTGAGATCAAAGGTGTGCTCCACCAGGCCCAGCCACAAACATAAACATTGACAATCACATTCTTGCACTCACTATAAGGCTCTGACTGCCATAGACCTCCATCCCCTGCTGGAATTAATGATGTGCACACCATATCCCACTCAAGGCTGCACATGGGTTTTTTGTGTGTTTTTGTCTTTTTACAGATGGTTCTTTCTTCTATGTTTACATTTTTTGTGGCTGTTTTGAGACAGGGTGATTGCCTTCACAAGACTGGCCTTGAACTCCTAAAGCCCCTACCTCGACGGTCCAAGTGCAAGGCATTGGAGGCCAGCATCATCACAACCAGTTCCGTGTTTCTATGCTATTAAGTTTTTCTCTCCTAACATGCCTCCAGTCCCAGGGGAGCGGATCATCTCCCGAGTCACCTGGGTTTCCACAGCTGAAAACAGGTTTCTCCAAAATAACAAAGTTCTGGCAGAGCTCTTAGTTTCTCAGGCTGGAAAAACATTTTGTTATCTCCCACCCTCCAACGCTAACAACATCCATCTGCACCGCTCTCTTCCTTGTGTCCCACCACCTACATCATCTCAGCGGTTACTTTTTATCAAAATAAATTCGTCCCACATGCTGGAAAGATGGCTCAGCGCTTAGGAACACTTGTTGCTCTTGCAAAGAACACAGGTTCAGTTCCCTGTATCCACATGGTACATAAACATCCTTAACTCCAGTTCCAAGGGGTTCAATGCCCTCTTCTGATTTCTGGACCAGGCACACACGCAGTGCACATGCATGAAATAATTAAATATTTAAAAAGATTCCTTTAAAGTTCTATCCCGCGCTCTTTCCTGTTCTCCTGGGGCAGACAGGGCTGTTCCTGTCTCTTTACCTCTTTTTTCTTTCCTCCCCCCTCCCTCCCCCTTTCTAATAAAACTTCTCACTTAAAAAAAAAAAAAACGTGTCCCACATTTACTTGCTGACAAGTATATCCCAAATACAACACCATGCCATTTCAGGGCATGTTCACCTATCTCGTTTGATTCTCTAGAGAATGCTGGGGACCGGAGACACAGCCCCAGTTAGAAGGTGAATCCTCATCCAAACCCGGAACTTCAGGGAGGCGGGTTAGATCAGCGCCAAGCTCCGGGAGCAAACCGTGGAGGCGCCGCGGGACCCTGGGAACCTCTAACCCTCACACTTTGGTGCCTTAAGAGCCTCGCTCACCTCGCCGTCGTCTCGGCCTGGCCAAGCCTTCCGCAACATCAAAGCCACCACCAGCTCAACCTGGGCCGCGGGCCCCCCTGGTTGCAAGAGTCAGGGTGCCTGACAGGCTCCATGACCCACCCCCGCTCCCACGGGCTCCACCAGCCGGGCCCGCCCCCGTCGCGCCTCCTCCGCAACGCGGCCCCCAGCAGCCTAGCACGCGCTCGCCCGGGTCCCACAACACTCGCGACGGCACCCTTCGTCGCGCTCCCCCCGGGCCAGTCAATGGTGTGTCCCTCAGCTTCCTCTCAGTTCCCTCATCTCTTCGCCTCTTCTACCCCGAGGATCCGGCGCCGCTGCACGCAGAGACCCGGCCCCACCGCCCAGCCAGGGCTTGTTTACTCACTCACCCTCCATCCTGAGACGCAGGGGCCCGCCGCTAGGACGCCTGCGCGCCGCGGCCACGCCCCTGCGCCGCGGCCACGCCCAGCGCCCCCCCTTCCTCCTGGCGCGTGCGCATTCAGTGCATGGAGCACCTGGGCTTCCTTCTTCTCAGGTGTGTTTTGGCTAAATTCGTGTAGCCCTGGTCTGGCACTTTCCTAGTTGAGCTATCAGAGGAAAGGAAAGACCCTGCAGAAATCTTCCTGGAGCCACGGATACCTTCTAGAAGGGTTTATTCAGAAGCACACCATCCCCAACCGTGTTTAGACAACTCAGATCTCAAGTTTATGAAGCCAGTCTAGAATGTCTTCATTCTAATGCCTCCCATCTACTGACACATACCCCAATTACCTGTGGGCTCTAAGTTATTGTTTTACTCATACTTAATTA